TGTCTATGTAGTTAATAGTGTTCTCAGTGGGAGACCGTGACATTGTATGTGTGTGCAAAGCAAATACAGCAGCCAAATTCTCCTGTGGGATAAAGCACTGCAGTGAAATTATATTACTGTTATAAAAGCCTTATTTGATGTGATGTATTGATGTGCTATAAAAATGTGCAGTGATTAATGGTACAAGTATTTAGCTTTTTCTTTTTTAATAGAAGATGTATTGAATTGGAATTACTGCTAAACCACTACATCTTTTTCCTAAATAAATCATGGATCTAAATTACAGAGCATGTCTAAAAATAGCAGAGTGACAGGAGAAGTGTAAACGAGGAAAACAGTCTGCAGGAAGCACCTGCCAGAGGCCATCACCACTCCACGTAGCTGCTGGCCACAATGCCTGCCCGTTTCTCTAGGTGTTTACCTAGAAACTGCCTGTGTGGCATGACGCTGAAAAGGATCTTCCATGACTTTTCTATGCCACTCTTTCATCCCTCTAAAGCTTTAATCTAAATTCTCAGTATTAATTATCTTTGTCTCACCTACTGTGCACATGAATTGCAGTCTCATCCTGTACAATTTAAAGAGTTTTCCTTACACTCTTATGTTGAAAAATGTCAAAATATCCATGAGATTTTAATGCTTTAGTAAACATTGTACAGTGTCTTATACCAGTGGCATTGAAAATCAATCCATGTAGAATATGTGATATAAATGCATGCTCTGTCTTTACAAACAGCAGAACTTTATAGTGTCTAAATTGTCCTTACGATTTAATAAAACAGAATGTTTGTCTGGGAGGTCCGGAATTTGAATTAAGTTGAATTCAGGTCAGAGAAAAATGTACCTTAGAAAAAGGTTAGTACTCCAAATTCCAGTTTAATTTACTTGGCAGGAAAAGGCAGAGAAGCTGGCTGTTGTCTTAAATGGTGCAGTGAACACCCAGAGAAACAGTCACTGTTACGGTCTCCCTGTGATAGCGGGGAAGCTCCCAGTACTCAAAAGTAATGGGCCGATGACAGCTTGGCCTTCGTTGGCTGCATTTTTATGCCTGGTGTTTTTTTTTATTTTCTTATTCTGTCTATATTGTCTGTTTCAAAGGGATTAACATTAGAGCTCTTCACGCTTATATTCTGTGTGACATGCGCCAGATGGCGGAATGCCTGATTCTGGCGGTACCAGAATTCTGTCTGATTCTATCTGGAACTCTAGGATAAGAACAATAAATACCTGTATAAAGAAGGCAAATGGGAAATATATGAAATCAGAATTCCAGATAAGCACTGTTTGCTCAGTTTCGAAGGCTTTCTCCAGATATCTCTTTGATTGGAAATCACTGGTCCCAGCAGATCGTTTTTTAGGATGGTAGTGCTCCCTTTATTCATCTATAGGGAGAACCCAATACATTCTCCCTTCATCTTCAGAGAAAATCCTTTTAGCTGCTTGCACCTCATCTATATTGCTTTCAATAATCCCCCAAATACAACAGGACAGAGTGGAGATCTATTTTGCTTTAGTTTTTCACAGCTCAAGTGTGAAAGATTGTTTGGAATTCAATTGGTTCTTTCTTAGTGTACAGCACCTATTCGAAGCAGTGCAAGTGATAGATTGTAGAGATCTCAAAGGGTTTTAACATTGAAGGCATTTTTATTTGAGCTCTTTGAACCAATTATTCACAGATTATAGAACATTTCTAAAAATGTCTTGACATCGTCATAATACGTTACATGGTACATTTGGATGTACAGTAAGTGTAACATGTCTGATGACTTTATCAGCAAATGGAGTGTTAATTTGAACGAGAACTAAAAAAGCACAGCATTCCCATTCCACACACACTGTTAGCTCAAAGATAAGAGTTCACTGAAAGTGTGGACATGCTGTGATAATGAGCCATCCGAGAGCTTATTTTTGTAGAAACAGGTATAAAAATGATAGATGAAGGAGCTTTTACAGTGGAATTTTGATAAGAACGCTATCGACCGAGGAAACTAATCGCTCACAAAAGATCAAAGAGTTGTTGTCTGTGCCCCAGAGTATATACAATAGAATTTCCCAACCCTAAACCTTTGTCAGATTTTAAGTACAGCAAATCCCCTTTCCTTCCTCCAATGAGCACATAGAGTCCTGGTATGTTTTAAGCATCCTTAATCTGTTTTGAATAAATTATACTATTCATATTCATTGTAGCTTTTTTTACTGTTGAATTATATACATACCAAAGCACTTATTGAAATACACTATATAAAGCACAATTTTGAAGGATATCTATTGTTCCCTTTTTAATTTAGAACAAATAACGAACAAGCTGCACAGTCCACAACTCTCTGCACATGTGAAGTTGGACACTTACAACGTCTCCATTTATGTGCATCTTTGTGTACTTGCATTGGTCTAATGTACAGTGTTTTAGAAAATGAGAAGATTGCACTTGCTTGTTTTAAAAGAATGGCCTGAGCTGATTAAAAGATGTTAAGAGATGAATCTTTTCACTCCTGAGCAAAGAAGACTGTATCAGACTTGATTAAGGCCTTCAAAATCCTTAAGGGCAATGATAAAGCTACCCTTTTAGTAGTACAATTTGAAGGGCACAAATGAAAACTAAGGGAAAGTGTATTTAAAAATGAGAACAGGATGTGCTTCTTTACACAAACAGTTGTGGGAGTATAGAGCATGCTTACCATGCCATACTGCCAAAGGAGATACTCTGGTTTCTTGTAAGAAATGGCTGGATGAGATGGGCTTTAATTTTTATATACTCGAAGAAGTTTCCACTGCCAAAATTTATTTTATTTTATTTTCAGCATGGAATAGACCTTTTTGTTGTATATAATGACTCAAGGTTTTTATTGTACAACAACAGTGACCCATTTGGAAAAATATATTTTAATTAAGCTTTCTAATTAGCTAACGTGTTGCCCTTTAAATGTCCAAATACATCCAAACGTGCTGCTGTACTGGCTTTTCAGGCTGATATTTCAAATCAGTGACAAAGAAGGAGCAGCCCATTTTTTTCTCAGCTTCATAGAAGCCTATTTCAAAAGTTGAATAATGGGAAATAAAAAAAAGCAACATTAGTTGTCTAATTTATCGGTCCTGTAACTCCAGTCATAAATATCTGATTGTGAATGGATGGAAGGCGTCTTTAGGGAAAAGGATGGTTCTTCAGACACCACAAAATCAGTGGTATTCTTTTGTGTGTAGAATGCAATTGATGAAAAGCAAGTTGACTCTTCTTTCTCCATTGCTCCCTTAATCTTTGCAAACCTTGTGCTCTATTTCCCTTTTGTATTGGAGAAGCAGGTCACAGACATCTTCCACTCTATAATTGGAAGGTTTTTTTTTTCTTTTCATAATAACATTGAGGTTCCCAGTAGGTGCTATAAGAGATTAAGGCATTGGTTTATTAAACTGGTTCCACACCTCTGGGACTGTGGTTTTAATGCACCCTGAGAATTGTTCTTCTTTGACAGCAGTTAAAATTGAGTTAGACTGGGTGCTGCGATTCACCTTGTTGGTCTGGTTTAAAAAAGGTTGATCCATGTCTGCTGCTGAGGTAGCTTAATATACCAAATCATTAGTGTCATAAAGGGAGTTTTTTTTCTTGGCATAGAACTGTGTAATGGCGATCGGGCTTTGTTCTGTGTATGAGGTAGAACAATGGCTGTACTGTCTTTGTGGATGGTTCCTTTACAGCTATTGAACATACTGTATGTATATCAAAGCTGTGACACTCATGTAAAACACTTGCCTTGATTGGCGTGCTACCAACTAGAGTAGGAGTGTGGTGAAAATAGATGTTATTTGACGTTTCTATGCGTAGGATTAATGAAGAAGAATGAGTATCTTTGCTTATTTTGCATTTTTCTTTGCTGCTGATATTATTGTGCTGGCTATTGTGAATTAGTCATCACCATCATTTCATTGTGTCTGTATTTCTTTGCAAAGCTAAAAAAAAGGTTTTGAAATGTGTAAGGATTTACACAGGTGCAAAAAATTTGCCTCCGTCATAATTTGGAATCCAAGGACAGGAAAAATTCTTTGATTAAAATACACTTACTGAATCTGAAGAGGTCAGATCAGTTTGCTTCACCTGTCTCAGATTAACAGTGGTGTAGAAACCACAGTATAAATGACGACTTGGTTCCATTCCTGATGTTACGGCTTCCAGCCTTTTTACTTACACGGTGTGGAGCAGAATACCTTAATGAACCAACTGGACTGATAAAAAAAAAATGGAATGAAGACCTAGAGCAGCACATCATTAGCTGTGCGGTAAACCGAGGGTGTCAGTCTTCAGAAGCCCCTCATTGTCAGTAGGGTGGCTTTCTCCGTGCGCGTGTCAGCTGGTGTCGTCTCTGTCGGCTGGGTCCATGAGGGTCTGCCCTGACCGGCTGCCACACCGCCTTCTCCTGCCTGGACACGGAAGTGACTTGTGAGCTCTCGGAGGGGCTTTTCAATTAAGACTCGCATCCCTCCGTGGGCTTTGCTTTGCCAGCAGGCTGCTGCATGCTTTCCTGCTGCAGGAAGACAGACAGAGAGAGAGAGAGGGAGAGGGAGATAGCTGGGGATTGCTGCAGCTTGTTGTAAAATGCATGAGGAGTTGCTTAACAACATGCTTGGAGAAGGAACTAGGGAACTAAAATTCTGAGAGAAAAAAAAATACAGATTCAATGAGAAACCTTAAAACTACGAGAAGCAGCATGCAGGAAATTGCATCATTTCAGACTTTTTGACATTTGGCTCAGTGCACTTTGGATGGGATGGACTGTAATTGTGGAAATGAGCTGCTTTCCATAATGGCACTAATGTTTTGTTTGGATGGAGCTTGAGCGAAAGGGAAGCGGGCTGCCGAAATTTCAAGTCTTGATCTCTTATTAGCTTGTGGCCCAAGGCTATGCTGAGATTAATATCCCATTTCTATTGTTGTAGCTCAAAAGAAGAATGTTCAGAGGATGGCAAGTGTATTCTGACTAGGTACGTCTGAATCGTATAAATCACACGCTCCCTTTGTGATGTTTGTGAGTTCTATTTTTTTTTTATCTCAATGTACTTAGTAGTGGCTTTCTCATTTGCCGGAGTTGATGCATCTTTTTTTCTTCCTAGATTCTGAAGAATGACCTCCCAGTTTAGGTTTAACAATGGTTGTTTGCTTTTTCCCTTTATGCAGCCTTTGCTCTGTGTAGTAAACAAAGCTGCATTGTGCTGTCTCTCTGTTCAGTGCAGTCCTTTTTTTTTTCTCCCTTAACACGTACTGCAGTCAACTCTCCTTTAACAAGGTGGCACTATTGTTGAGCTAGTCAGATAGAATCATCATACCGCTTTAGGGGACAGAACGGGGTTTTTAAAAGGAGATGCCTCACAGCTCTATTTTGCCAAACAGGCAGAGTGGAAACATTGGCTTAAGAGCATTGGCAGAATCATTAGCTTGTCTTTAGCTGCAGCAGTCATCAGTTCGAGCGCAGTGTGGGATGGAAGTCCTAGCTGGAAGTCTGTTATGGAAACGCTCTTTGCTGTTATTGTAGCACTGTGGTGACAACATGCCATTGAAATGGAAAAGCGGTTCTCCTGCTAGCTGGAAATTCCCAGTTCCTGTGCTTAAAACATCTAGGTCATCTCCACTCTCACCAGCATACATGTAAGTAAAAAAAAATAAAATAATTTAAAGCATGTTATGGTGGAGTGCTTTTTTTTGTTTTTGTTTGCAGTAAATCTGTAGCATGGTCATGTACCTTCTGTAGTCAGTGAGTGTTTGTATCTCGTCTGATGCACCGCAAATCCAACTAAAACAGTGTTCTGCAAATGTTAGGAACTGTAGCACAGTGTTTCCATTCTGTGAGTGCTGTTTCAGACGATTCTCTTGACTGGATTATCTGGTTGATTGATTAAAATGCTTGTCTTGCTATACATTAAATTAGAACTAGCCTTTTGTTAGGGGCAATACTTGCATCCCAGTTAAAACGGTATTCTGATATACGGTTATTATTGAGGAAAGACTGGTAGAAGCCTCCCCTCACCCTCTTCTCTCTGTGTCGGAGCTGTCCATTCAACATTTGTAGATCCTATTAGAATCTGGTGGTATGAGGGGAAATAGATTGCCTTAACCTTGGAAGCTCAAGTGGTATGCTTGTATGAGAGGGAAGAAAAAAATTCTTACCATGGAGCACTGATTGCTTTTAGTCATGCAAATCCTTTTTTAAGATGTGTTTAAGCAATAGAGGTCCGTGTGGAATTGTTTTTTTTTTTAAAAGAAAACGCCTACTGCAGTTAGTCCTTGCAGTTTATTGTGCATTAGAACACTTTAAGCTGAACAAAAACTCTGATTGTAGTCTAACTGTTCTGACATGCTAAGAGTTCTAAAGTATTGATTTATATTTTAAGCACAAATTAGCAAATGGAAGATGGAAGTGATTGTATTTCTTAATTATGACCCTTTAACGGCAGACATTGTGATAAAAAATGAGTCTTGTTGATTCAGAAGTGCTGAAGTGGTTTAAATATATTAAACTGCAGCAGTCAGTGTGTCAGTGCCAATTTAATTGCTGGCGAACATTTGATCTTTTTTTTACCTTTTGCTGCATTAATCTTTTTTTGGATTTTACTTTAAAAATATATTTTAGTATATATAACAGGAAGTAAAATATAATTAACTCTCATACATGAGGGATTTTCTTAATCTTTGCAATTCTAAGAAACAGTTATAAAATTACTCAGATTTTCAATTAGAATTTATTTTACAGAATTTGTTTTTGTTCAGTCCTGCATTTATTTTAAAAACATTTTAACAGTGGCCTAGAAAACTAACAATGAAGCCATAATTTCCTTATGTTCCTGTGTTTGTCAGAAGCTTTCCTCCGAAAAAACAAATTGTACAATTCTCTAAATTTTGCTTTAATGTACTGCTGTAGCGTTTGATACTGGTTACTTTTTTGTCGGATTGTAGGTTAGTGTCGATTGCCAGTGTTTGTTTGCATGGTAAGTGAAACTTACCACATTTGTTTTTTCCTCTGTAGGAACAGATTTCTCTTTTGATCTGGCTAGATCAGTATGGCTCTTCTTTTGTTCTTTCTCCTTCAAGTTCATCTTCAGATCTGTTCATAAACTGCAGAGAAACAAAACAAACTTTCATTTTATTCATCTGGGACATAGTTATCTGTCGATATTAAAATGACAGATTCTAGTACAAGGAATTGTGAATGGGCACCTTGGTCAGTATCGCAGAGTTAAGCAGCTTCTGTTGCCAAATACATCTCAGGATCGTGTCTAAATATAACTGCCACCAGTGGTGGTATATCAGTACCAGAGATTTAGCACATAACAAAACATGAATGTTAATATGTTGCCCAAGAGAGCAGCAAAATGACTGAGGTTCACAACTGAAGTTATTGTTGCCATTGGTATGTGCTGGCTAGCCAGCTTTCTTACAGGTAATTCTCGGCATGACATTATTGATGACACTTTTATTTTACTTTTAGATTAAGTTCCAAAAATAAAAAGTTCTACAGCGCTTTGAAAATCATACCCATTCTTAATTTGGTTTACATTTTAAGCAACCCCAAAGGACGAAAGTAAGAGAATTACATCGATAAATATCTTGTAAGAGCTACCCTAAATCACTCAATTTTTTAACTGTATCATAGCACCTTTTGAATTGCTGCATTTGTAATATCAGTTCAGCTATATTTCTAGACAGTGGGATGTAATTATTGTATAATTCATTGTTGTTCTGGACAGGTCAGATGAGATGTAAGTAGGGTCTTTAAACAACTCGATCCTAGAGTCTCTCTCCTCACCAAGATCACTTCTGATGTCTTAGTTGCAGCTTCAGTGTTCAGGTTTCAGAGTTTGGAGGCTCATTGTGGTTCATTATAGTTTCTTTACCATATCTGCCTAAAACAGTGCTTTAAAAAATGGAAGTCTCAGGACTGCTTGTTTTTATTATTTAGTTTCAAGTGGAAAACAGCCATCACTGTTTCACTAAATTGAAACCGGTAATATGTGCTTCTGGCATTGAGGCAAAAAGTTTTCTGTGTGAGGGTCAATTACTCACAGTTTATTTGATGTGACTTCATCAGATTAGTGTTTCATAGTTCATTCTTTACGCCCTATTAACATTTTTATTTCACGTTGGATTTTGAAACGCACTTTATTGGTTGCTGCTGTTCCAGTGAGTATGTGAATGCTAGGTAGGATTAAATACAGCCTAAGAATTTCAGAATGTCAGAACCTAATGTCTTATATAAATAGCTTCCTGTTGTTCTTGGAGATGAAATGCATTGAGTACTGATTGCTTGTAATTCTTGCTTTGGATGACTTTTACTACATATCTAAAGAGCAGAAAAAAGATGATCATCGTTATAATGGTATTACAGTTGTAGAGAATAGGGATGACTTGGCTTTGAATGAAAGTATGTTTATAGCTGTTTCACACTGCAGTTATAGCTCTTTGCAATCTGTAAATGGGTTCAGTGTAACCCTGAGTTTGAGAGTGGTATACTGTCATAATCCAAGTGTCCACAGTGTCTTTCAAAGTGTCCATTTTGTTTTTCAGTTGGATTTATATTGCTGCCACTGCGTTAATCAGCTTGTCATTATGCTTTTATTATAGATCTAATATGATGTTTTATTAGATTGCAATGTATCCTTTCCAATAAATACAGATTTTTGCTTTTTCAATGGTATACATAAGTATTCTGTGTATTCTAATAAATTTCTGTTCACGCCGTTAAGTTTTTAAAGTCCATATATACTTGTATATTATCAAGACTGTCTCAAAAGATTTGTACAGTGCGTGTGGAGCTATACTTCCAATTGCCTTTGTTTTTATACTGTGCATCAGTGATTTAGCAGTGTCATCTGTATTCACACATTTGAATTTAAATATATTTACAGATTAAAGTAACTCAGTTTACAATAGAAAATAAGGCATCAGTTTCTCACAGGGCTTATAACCTGCTGGTGATCTGAACCTTGCAATAGATGCGGTCATTAACTGACATTGGAATATAATCAATGAGTGCTGCACTGTGGGATAATTTATTAAGGGAAGTAAAAGTAAACTTTTCTTCTTTTTGTGTGTTGGAGCGTTTTCTATTTTTCATTATCTTGTGTCGGCAGTGCCAGAGTGCTTCATCTGTCCTGAAAGGAAAACAGACTGAGATGTCTCAAAAAAGGGAGCTGCAGGAATAAGCAGAATTGACAGCTGGCAGTGAGACTGTACTTTTCTGTGTTGCAGGGCACGTTAAAAGTGATCTACTGATCTCACTTGATCGGTAGAAATGCAATGAAGTACTGTCTGGATTTCAGGCTCTGAAATTCAACAGTGTAAATGGATGATTAGTTCATCTACATTTCAAGACTGCGAAGAAATCCTTCTTGCTAAATTGAACAGATTTGCAAAAATGACTGCACTCGTTTGTTTTTCTTTGTGGCGTTAATTCCGCAACTTAACTGGATATTTCAGTCTTTAAGTTGAATTTTTGTTTTTATCTCTACCACAAAAACTGTGAGCCTTTGCACCTGTTTTTTTATTTGCAGACCCAAGTTTATTGTACATGTGAGTAAAGACAAAGGAAATATTTTTACGTCACTCATTTTTTTAGTTTTCCTTGTGACAGATTTTTTCACACCAGATTTGTGACAGTGTTAGCCTTGGTTGGTGTGTGCTGCCGTAGCCCTCAAAATAGCACGGGAGTAAGTAGGATGAGCAATGCATACCTAAAAATCTGCAAAGCTGGGTCTCCTGCATCTTTCTCCTTCTGTAACATCACAGCATGAAAGGAGAGCTAAGGCATAGGAAGGTAAATTTGACGCAGTTCTCTTCAATGATGTAGCAAGCTCACTGGGACCTGCAGGGGTCACTGTTTCACATCATCTCAGGAAATCTTAGCTGCCTTAAATACCTACTGCCCCCTGAGGCATGTCGTTCCGGTCAGGCTAGTGATATAACCCAGCAACCCCGAGGTGCCTGAGCCCAGTCTTCAAGTTGCAAAATCTCCATACCTACCAAGTGAATTCCTACTTACCGAAATAGCTGCTGTTGATCTAATGCACCACACTGCTGAAGCTTGCACAGAACCGCAATCAGAAAACTTCAGTATTAACAGAAAGTACATATTAAATTGCCTGGAGCATGTGTGTCCTTAAACCAAGTTCTCCTGGTTGCTCTTGCACTTTGCGGTTCAAAAATTGAAGTTTATGTTGCTCAGCAAGTGCAGTCAACCTCACTTTCTGGAAGGTAAATGTAGGAAGGCAAGGAGTTCAGTACCTTTAATGAAACTGCCTGCTTTCTTCCTTTCTAGGCAAGTAGTCACTGGTGTGGATGAAGTCCTCAGAGCCAGCATCACTCTATTGTGATGTTAATCATTGTGGAACATCAAAGAGCTAGTACCTATTCTTTTTATTCATGATAATAAAAGTCTAATCCTAAAAGGCATCTTTTAAAGCCCTAGCAGTCAAGTGTAAAAGTAAATTCAGGATCTCCTTTGTCACACATTTGTGTCTGTATCATTTTGTCTCATGGTTTTATACTTCAAGCATAAATGAGCTGAAACTGAAGTATTCTATTCTACTTAAGTGTAATAGCATAGTGAGTGCAACAACGAAGTAACATTAACTGCCAAATGATGACAGAGGGAG